TTTTTTTTTTCAAGTAAAAGTGTCAGCATTGTAAATTTTAGCAGCTTACGAAGGTTGGGCTTGTGCAGCGATGGCAGCAAAATATGACTTAATAGAAGAATTGGCAGCGATTAGCGGAATGCAGCGGGTTCCGACAATGACTTGCGAACAGTTCAGTCTAATGCGTAAAACAGGCCAGCGCGGTATTAGGTAAAAAATAACTTTTTTTCGTTTTTTGGTAAAAGTGGAGAATTTTTGGGCCTTTTTCATTTGTTCGCCGTTGTGTTGCTTCGCATAAATTACTAAATCATTAAGAATTATAGTCAATGAATATTTTAGTGGACCATTTTTGTGAATACCTTTTATTTAGTATTTTATGTTAGTGATCACTTAGTGAATACCTTTCTGCTAATATGCACTTTTTTGTCGTGTTAAGCCTCACGCCAGTATGCCTTTTTGCATTTACGTAATATCCGAAAATGCATAAAAAACGGGAATTGAAGCATTCAAATACAGTAGTTAGCATGTCGTGCGTCGAATTAAATATCCCGAAAATTGTGTTTTTGTAGAAAGAGTGTCGCAGCTGCAGTCGAGGCAACAGTACGGAATGGATATGTTTCGAATAGACGTGTATATCGAGTAGGTGTGCGTGTCGAGTGAATGTGTGTCGAATAAAATGGGTATGGAGTAGAAAGTGTCGGGTAAATGTGTGTTGAGTAGACGTGTGTGAAGCCGAACCTCGAATGAGGGAAGCGCTTCGTTGTATAGCTGAAATGGAGGTGTGCCCAGATTGTCATTCTCCCAGAACAAAAGATGAGAACAAAAGCTACGCTTACAGACACCGGAATGTTCACTCCTTTAAAAAAAGGTCCATAAAAATCGGGCAAGAAAAGATGATTGATGGGGACTTGAAACGGAACAAAGGATTCTCAAATGGATAATACATTTGTCTCTGATTTCTCACTCAAATTTTATTGTTGCGAAAGTGCTTTACAGTAGTTTTTATCTCTGCCAGGTTTTGCTTGAAACAGTTCAGATTTAGCAAGTTTTATTTTTGCTACTTTCGGATTCTTATAGTGTTTCTGGAGGACATCAGAGGCATCGATCAGATGAAGAATATTGTACTTTGGCAACTACTGCACCACCAGATGGTGGCGCGAATGCTGTCCAAATTTCGGACGAGCAGCAGCGGCGATCTTTTCGGCTGCGTTGGAGTGGGTCCGAATCGGATAAGTAAATTTTAACCATGATTTTCACAAGAAGATTGAAGGCTGTCAAATTTTTAGGGTTCCTACTCCTACGCTGAAGCCGTTTTACGCCTCCACTAATAAGAAAATGTGTACTTTTGTGTAAGAATAAATTGTATCTGAATTGTATATGAGCTTTATCATATGTGTGAATCCATCGTGGATTTATCACTGAGCGATGT